TCCCAAAAGATGCCACCAAACGTGTATAAAAGAGTAAATTACACAAATAGACGTCAAATTATGATATTTGTCTCAATTGAACTCTTAAACTCGTTAATTTAAGTAATTTTATCATTTGTTAGTTTTTTTTTTTATTATGATATTTCTCTCTCTCGTATCACCTTTATGACTACTCCCTCACCAGAACTATGGTAGTACTTCCATTCTCTACCTCTTTCTCTTCTCTTTGTGATGCAAGGGACCATATCGATGACAAGGACTAGATCGACCTGATCTTTCCGCCAATCTCAGGTAATTACTCAATGCAGTTGATCTATAATTGTTCACTGTTGATTGGCAAATTATAGCTCACAAGAGGCCTAGTGAAATGCTTTACAATGCAGATAAGGTGTTTGTCAAAATACCAGAGAAAAAAAAAGAAGAGAAATTTCCTTACTTTGTTATACTATTTGGTTCTTGGTTTCATACTCTTCCAATCAATTGCTAATTTTGTGTCTTTGTAATTTATAACAGTTATGACTTGTTTAAGTCCTATGATTGAATTAAATATGATTCTGTTCAAAAATATGTTCTTTGGAAATATATTTTATGATTCAGTTAAATAAAATATTGTCTTTATGGGTTAAGAAAATCTTGTCTTTGTGGGTTAGCACCCGGAAAACTTTGAACTTCAAAGCCCATTTCAAACATTAAGGCTAGTAGTAAAACAACTAGTGTCCAGACTGGATATTTTTGAAGCTCAAAAACTTCACCTCTGGACCCCAAAATATCTTATAGCCTTCGCTAAGCTATTGACTTTTGATAGCTATCCTAGCTATACAATAATAAAGAACTGCAGAGGCTTATATATCCAAGCTAGTCCTTCAATCACAGAACACTTGGACATGGGCGATTTCCCCCCTATATTATTCGGCTTTTGCCTTGATTTTGCTTTTATTTTCTTTTTTATTCAACTCAAAGTAGTCACCATAATTGTATTTTCAATTTGAAATGTAATGGATACAGTTATTAGGGTTTTGCCAAACACTAGATTTTGTGTTTTGTTTGTTTCACCTAAAATATGTCTCGTTGTCCACTGGGTTATCGTGTGACTTTTCGTTGAAAAAAGTTAACGGATTCTGACTGAATGACAAAATTATTCAAACTAACAAATTTAGGGGCTTAATTGATAAAAAATAATTTAAAGATTTAATTGATACAAGGGTCATAGTTTGAGGGTCATCTTTATAATTTACACTTTGTGTTTAGTTTGTTTTACCTAAAATACCCTTGTCCTACTGTCCACAATAGTTATCACGTGACTTTTTTTGTTGAAAAAATTAACAAATGTTAAAGGAAGGAAAAATTGCAGAAATTAATAAGTTTAAAGGTTTAATTGAGACAAAAATTAGATCAGTGACTTAATTGACACAATGGTCATAATTTGAAATTCATTTGTGTAATTTAGTTTATATAAAACATTTGAACTCCATTTGTGCCTTATTTCTATCCTGCCTTTACTCAACTAGGTTGCCATCAATACAAAGTTACAAATAACCTCCACGTTGCCATTTTCTCTGAGTAAGTTTTCAAAGACTTTTTTAGATTTTTTTTTTGTCAATAAATGAAAGAAAAAAAAAATCCCTCATTTCACATATACTAGCAAAATATGTACATCTAAGTCTCTTTAAACCTCTCTTTAGAAAAAAATTTCTCATATCGGGATACTTTTTTTTTTTTTTTTTCTTTTCCTTTGATGACTGTGTCTTATAATTCCGCGTAAGAAAAATATTCGAACCATGACTTATGTTGGATCTTTTTCTTCCTTGGCTTTCGGAGAGTTGGGTCATTTGGAAATAAAATCTTTCTCTTGCTGTAACGTGCGGTCTTCGTTCAGTAATAAGGGATAGCCATTCAGGGGCGGCCCTAACTTGGCTTCATATGGAAGATTATAATACAGTGCCAGTCTTGTCAAATCCGGTGAAACCCCAAGACCGCTATGGAAGATGTATGTATTCTACAACTTGCTTGCCAAGGTTGACTACAATATGTATGTGGACTATCTTTTGGATAATAGAACCCAAAAATTAAAATTAAAATACATATTATTCTTTGGATAAGTGTTAATAAGTGGGTCTCTAAAAAAATTAATGAGATCTATTTATCCAAATGATAATATCCATTTGAATTGTGTAATATTACTAGTTCACATGAAAAATGCTACATATAAGGCACAATAATATAATCAAAGAAAATCCTCCAAGTTAATACTTCAAGATATCAAGTCTCGTAAAAAAATATCTTAGTCAATTCTATATGTGGAATTTGTAATTGATGTTGATGCTTATGATAATTATTGAATTTGTATCGTGGTCACAAATCTCTTAGTAGTTCAAAACGAATATTTCAAGTCAAACGACTTCAAAATAGAGTAAATAGACAGATTGAGAATCTCACGATATTTGAAATCAAGTATTCAAGAAAATGCATAATATGTGATTAGAGGGTTCAATACGTGATTATTAATGTGTATAATTATAAAAAACAAATAATAAGAAATTTGTGAGAGATACGAGAGTAAAAAGAGAAAAAAATAGGTAAATTATAAAACGCTTGAGTGCAATTGATATGGAGTTATAGGCGATAAGCATCTATGAAAAAAAATTAGAGTATTATATGTAATATTTTTATATGAGCACACTAGCACTCCCCCTCTGTTATAAACGTATGCTTGAAATAATACATAATTAAAGAAGAAAAAATCGAACTAATTCATAATCTTCGAGAAAGAAACTTTAATGTACGAAAACAGGCATGGACATAATAGGCGGACGCGATTGAGTACGACAGTCTATTGAAGAATCTCGCCCACGTGGGCACGGGACCACATTTATAAACAAAACACTACACAGTTGTCGGTGTCGGCTCTGCCTGACCACGTTTTATTTGACAGTCCGTGGTACAAATCATAAATAATAAAATAATCAATAATGTCGGCTTCTACTCCTATGAATCCAAACTTTCGATTTCAAATTACATTTCAAGTGAGTGAGACCCATGTGCCAGTGGATAATAATTCTGTTTTTAAATATCAATCATCTAAAATTTTTTCACAAGAATTAAAGAAATTATTAAATAATTCTAATATAAGTAAAAAATAATTACATAAGATTAAAATACTTTTATTCAATACGTATTAGGAAAGAAAGAAATATAAAAGACACTTAATTTCTACTTAATCTAATACATTGAAAAGTTAAGGATAAATTTTAAAAAAAAAATATTAATTATATTTTGATTTTAGTAAACGACAGATATTATGGAATAAAAAAAATATAAAACGATAGTTATTTAAAAAATATTAATTTTTTTTAAGCGAACCGTCAGTAAGTGAGCCTACATGACTATCTCATACTGCTTACCGGCACAAAAAAAATTGAAATTTGTCCCATTGCAGACATAAAGGGTGGAAACCCTCAACAGTGCATGGGCCCAAAGGACAGCCATGTTCTGCAAACTTGTACTTGTGCTGGTTCAAGTTCTAGTGGGCTTAGCTACCTCTCAAGATCTTGGTTTCATCTACAATGGATTTCGAATGACGAACCTTAGTCTTGATGGCATAGCCGAGTTCACACCCAATGGCCTCTTGAAGCTAACCAATGCAACCACGCAACAAACAGGCCATGCCTTCTTTCCCAACCCCATCACCTTCAAGAACTCCTCAAACGGTTCAGTTTTCTCTTTCTCGACCTCCTTTGTCTTCGCCATCGTCTCCGAATTTCCGAATTTGAGCGGCCATGGAATCGCCTTTGTGATCGCCCCAACCAGAGGCCTTCCAGGGGCTCTCCCAAGCCATCACCTTGGCCTTTTCAATGACACCAACAATGGCAAAGACACCAGCCATGTCTTTGCTACGGAGCTCGACACGATCCGGAGCCAAGAGTTTGATGATATCAATGAGAACCATGTTGGCATTGATATCAATGGGTTGAAGTCAAATTTGTCAAAGCCAGCAGGATATTATGCAAATAGCAAGGGGGAGTTTCAGAACTTGACTCTGATCAGTGGCCGCCCTATGCAAGTTTGGGTAGAATATGACGGTGTTTCTAAGCAAATTAATGTCACTTTAGCTCCGATAAATGTCGGTAAGCCAAATATTCCTCTCTTATCTTTGTACCGGGATCTTTCATCAATTCTGAATGAGACCATGTATGTCGGATTTTCGTCGTCCACTGGTTCAGTCCCCACATCCCAATATGTCTTGGGGTGGAGTTTTAAGATGAAAGGGATGGCTCAAGGGCTTTCTCTCTCTCAACTTCCAAAGCTTCCTCGAGTTGGGCCTAAACCGAAGTCGAGAATGCTGACAATTGGGTTGCCTGTAATTTCCATTGCTTCGGTGTTAATGGTGGTCTCAGGTGTAGTTTATTATGTAAGAAGGAAGAGGAAGTTTGCAGAAGTGCTTGAAGATTGGGAACATGAGTATGGGCCTCACAGGTTCAAGTATAAGGACTTATATATTGCTACCAAAGGGTTCAAAGACAAGGGTCTATTGGGGACTGGGGGATTTGGTAGGGTTTACAGAGGGGTCTTACCCACCTCTAAAATTGAAATTGCTGTGAAGAGGGTCTCTCACGAATCAAGACAGGGGATGAGGGAATTCGTTTCTGAAATAGTAAGTATCGGTAGGCTACGCCACCGGAATATAGTACCTCTGTTGGGTTATTGTCGGCGTAAAGGAGAGCTTCTACTGGTGTATGACTATATGCCCAATGGAAGTCTAGACAAATTCCTCTACGGCCAACCTAACATCACCCTGAATTGGAGCCAGAGATTTCGAGTCGTCAAAGGTGTAGCATCAGGACTGTTGTATCTACATGAAGGGTGGGAACAAGTGGTGGTTCACAGAGATGTCAAGGCTAGTAATGTCTTGTTAGATGCTGAATTGAATGGAAGATTAGGGGATTTTGGTCTTGCAAGATTGTATGATCATGGAACTGACCCTCAAACTACCCATGTGGTAGGAACTCTGGGGTACCTAGCCCCTGAACATACCCGAACCGGCAAGGCCACCACAAGCACCGATGTATATGCTTTTGGGGCCTTTTTGCTAGAGGTTGCTTGTGGAAGACGACCAATAGAGCCACAAGCATCAAGTGAACAGGAACTCATTTTGGTTGATTGGGTGTTTTCGTGCTGGAGTAGAAGTGAGATTCTTCTGGCAGTTGATCCAAATTTGGGCACCGATTACGTAGCACATGAGGTGGAGTTGGTATTGAAGCTTGGGTTGCTGTGCTCACACTCAGAACCTGTTGCCAGGCCGACTATGAGGCAAGTTGAACAGTTTTTGGAGGGTGCCATCCTTCTACCAGGGTTATCGTCACTTGGAATTTCTGCCACCGGCCTAACGTTTGCACATCGTGACGGGTTTGATGATTTTGCCATGTCGTATCCATCTTCCTTGTATAAGTCCTTCTCTCACACCACCTTGATGCAGAGTCCCTTCTCTATGGAGGCCGATGATTAAGAACTTCTATGAATTAGATTACTTCAGCAGTATAGAGCTATAATATGATATTGAGTAATGTCTTTCACATAGTTTTGTATCTAAAGATTTCTGTCAAGTCCTATACAGACACGAACCCGTGTTTCTTAGTGCACCTGATGATCAGACTTTACTGAAAACTTACAAAAATGCACTGCATGTCAAGAACAAGTAGATTGGTGATTAATACACTTCTTTTAAGAAAATCTCCAGCTGCAGCACTTTTATTATTCCAATTTACATATTGTGGGAGTAATTTTGTTTAGGTCTGCTATTAAAAAACTAACACTTTAACCTTCAGATTTGGAGGCAAAGCGGAGGGAGAACTTACTGTCCAAATGAGGGTGCGGGTCTTTTGTCCAAATGGAATGGTTTTTTTTTTATTAATTATTTATTTATCGTGAATAATGAAATTATTACACATAATATTCTCCGCCCCCAAAGGTGTCCTTGGGGTGATCTCCTAGCTCATAGTTTTGAGTATTGTCGAAAGCGTACAAAATTCTTATTCTACAGTATAACTACTGCTGAAAAAAAAAAATCTAATAATAATAAAAAAAATGTTGTTGGCATTTTCATATGAAAAGTGAAAACTACGAGTATCTAAAAATCCTGAACATAATAAATGTAGATGTTAACTTAATTTTTACAAAGGATTATGTTGTATGTGATCTAAAAACATATATTTCTGAAGATCTTCCACAAGAATCATCACTTTTAGTTATCCTTCATACTATATATTATAGGAACCAAATTAGGGGAGAGCCGGAGTTTGAGAAGCTTCTATTGGAATAAATTAAAGTTTTTTAAAACTTTCTAATTATTTTATTTTAGTTACAATCGTTATAATTGAACACTTGAATGGCAGATTCAATTTTGCCATTAATCTTAGTTTTAATGGACTAGCTGTTACAAGGAAAAAAGTTATATAAAGAAGCCATCAGAGGCTGCCCAAGTGAGTGGTCGGTGGGGATCAGCCATATTCCCAATTAGTCCTTTGCCTCCTTTACTATACGTTCCATCAATTTATTCTTTTATTTGATTTCTTTTACGACCTCCTTCTTCTCAATATTCTGTAGTAATAGCACAGTATTTTTACTATCAAGATTTTATGGACAACTTCAATTTGTGTCAGGTTCACTCTAATCTTCCAGTGGACGTGACCATTGAAGAGGTGCTATTGTGAGCATATCTGAGTTGGATCTTAGAGTTGCATATGTTAGTTAATACCTTCACGTGGGGAGGCATAGTTATTTTAGGACAATGATTTCATGCTTACCGGATATCACAGACCAGCTCTTTCTAATTTATTATTGTCTATTTCATACTGTCCTAATCACATGCTATAGTATCATATATATTTGATTTGTATTCTTGTTGTTTTATGATTTTATAAATAACTCATTAATTAATATTCATAAAATTGTGCTATTTTCTCCATCAGCTTCATAATGTTACTACTAGGTGAGGTAGAATTGGCAATATAGAGATATAATAAATTTTGTGCATTGTACGAAATAACCAGCCAATTACATTTAAAAACGAAGACCTATCAAGGGGTTTGAGCTCCTCTCCCTAGCCATCTTCCCACATTCCCAGTTGGAGGGGGTAGAAAATTTGGCCATGTCAAAGTCATATTGGTGACAAAATGCTTGACAAAATTTTTGAGTGGGACAATTTTTACTTTTCAAATCTATCTAGAAAATATTGACATCAAATAATGAAAGAAGATATTAACTAGCAAAGTGAGCCTTCATTTCAAGCCCCATAATCTTATTCGAAGTTCGCTCTTATATTGTGTTTAGTACGTGTGATTAAGGGTGGAAATGGAATATGCATTATTTGGTAATACTGATTCTATTCTCATATCTATTCCATTCTCGCTTAAAAGCATTGTTTACAAACCAATGGCAACGTTAGCATACAATCTAAATGTAATTACCACTGGCCATTCCTTTGGGCATAAAGCAAGAAATTAAAGAAACTGGAAAGTCCCCCGGGTGGATTAGTTACATCGGCCCCAATTGCACCAATACTCTATATGGGCCTCAAGAGATTGCACATCCCAAATTTTCAATGTTCAATTGCTCACAAGGTTAATGCCGTTGTATATTTGTCATTGTCATGTTGTGTTATGATCCAATTGCTTTGTTGATATCGGTTTGATGTTTATTTTATCACAATTTTATTGTCACTGTTTATAAATTACTGTAATTTTTAGGGGCATGTTAGTCCTTCAATGCCAAAGTATCCACTATGACCCAATAAGTTATAGAGTGGACTTGGTGGCCCAAAAGTGCAATTCCTTATTTTGTAAATGTTTTGTCTTCTTGAGGTAAAGGGTTCAAGTTTCCTCCCTTCTCCTTCCCAAAAAAAAAAAGTATATCGGCCGCCAGAGGCCCCTTCTTTTTTATGCTTAGAACTGAACAATACAGCTAAAATATAAAATATAGCATATATATATATTTATATAATAAAGTATCACTAATGATATTGAGATATAATGAGATGTCACCAATGAAATGATAGTGAAATGCATTTAATGATGGGTCTCATTGTAGCATTAATAAATTTATTATCATATCATTGATGAAATTATGTCCATAAATTATGTTCCAATAGCATTGCTCATAAAGTATAAAACATTTAAATTCTAAGAGATATAAACAATAAATTTTACTTTTCATAATTCAAATTCATTTTAAATTACCGTTAATTTGATCAGAGGATTGATGTTAACACTCCAAATTCTCTCTTCTCTCACCCACTCACGCATGTAGATTTCTTTCCTTAATTTTTGCTACGTCTCCCTTCGCTTCCCTCATCTCTCACATCCTGCTCTCTACTCTGTCCCCCTTTCTCTTCCTCACTCAATCATGTTGCCCTTTTCGTCATCTCCCTCTTTTCTTCGCTGTCGTTGAAGCAACAAGACATCCAGGTACTCCCTCTCTCTTCTACCCCTCTCTTTATCCCAAACCGAAGCAACAAGTCATCCTGTTTCCCTGAAACCAAGGACGGCCCAATAGTGTTGAAAATAAAGCTTGGATTTTAAGCTTCCAATTTTTAGGTCCCATAATTTTAGGAATATTGTTAGTCCACAAAAGATTTAAATCTATTACATTTTAAGCCCTAAAAAAAATCTCAAAAATTTAAGTCTAATCAAAATTTTTAAGGGAGATTGTGGATAGGTTTCCATATAAACTACTTATTTGTGGCAAAATGCCATGTGAAAACTTTGTTGTAGATAAGTGCTCCTAATTGTAAATGTCTTCTACCTACATATACATTGATTGTTTTTTAAATATTTCTTTTACCTAAACACCATTTTCCATAATTCATGGATAGTATTTTTAAGCAGTTAAGTTATTTGTGGGATTTGATTTTACTACTTCAACAAATTCCTCTTTTAATAGATGAAGACATTTAAATTTTGAATGTATATCTTCTTTTTCCTCCTATTCAACATCAGATTTTTTATGGAAGTCATTACCAATTTTTTCATCAGTTAACAATATCATTAGTTGTTATCACTATGATTTTAATTGTTCTATTTAGGAAATCCTATTCAAATATTGTTATGAGTATTATTTCACAGACGTCTTAATAAATTTATAATTTTACAGTCGAATAACAACATCAAGTTTGTGTATATATGTTTTATGTTAATGTAACGACCTGTTCATTTTAAATGTGTAGCATTTAATATCAACAACCAATTTTTTTCATATCAATTGTTGATTTTAATCATCAGTGGTTGTTAATTAGTATTGGTGCCTTCCGTTAGTGTGCATTGTGTTATTAATTTATGACACAGTGTTTGTTACAATATGACAAATAATATTGGATACAACCAACTTATTATTTTTATGTCATATTATGATGTCACATTGTGTCAAACATAACATTTAGTTTATGTAGTAATCAAGCAATGTAAATGCACATTATTTGTCTCAGCGTGACAAATAGAATAGTGTCCAACATACTATTACACTGTGTTCTTGAAATCGTACATTTACCGTTGTAGAATATGAATAGATTCTTCAAAACATTCTTTTTCAAGATGATGAAATTGGTGGAAAAGATTTTTTGAATTTTAAATATTTTTCTAAATGCCCGTCTTGATTTTGGAGGGTGAATGCTCTCTATTTATGTAGACTAGTAATGCAACATGTGCTTTGCACGTGAACAATTTTTGTATACACAATATTAATAAAAAAGTATTAGGTATATGTGTACCTACATTAAATATCATATCGATTTTATCAAAAATCATATATTTATCGCTCGTATTATACTATAAAATTCAAAAAATATTTTCTATTCTCAATAATTTGTTGTTCTAATTATAAGAAAAAAGATAAAAATAATTCATTTGAAATTCATTTGATTAGATTTCAACTTGAATAAAATAACAATAATTATTAATATTGTTATGTCAATAGAGATAAAATATAGAGTTAATAATTTTTTGAGTATCTAAAATATGTGTTTTTTTTTGGTCAATTTCATCCTTAATATATGAATTTTATCAATTTAGTCCATAAAATATCCAATTCTTATTTAAATGATCCCAAAGTAGACGATCCATTAAGTTTTTTTTATGGGAATAACCATATGTCATTCCATCATTTAATATCACGTGACCAACACATAATTACTTATGTCAAAAACTTAACAAATTTTTTGTGTAAAGATCATTTAAACCATTAATTTTAGAGACAAAATTGATACAATGAAGATCAAATTGATAAAAACATGTATATTTCAGAGACTAAAATTGTTATTAACCCTAAAATATAATACACTATAATTGTTTTTTATATAAACTTGTAATAAAACATGAAAATTTTAATGTTATTGAAAAATTATGTTGATTTAACATAAATTATTTTTTAAAAAACTACATGAAAGATTATTTTTTATCTTAAAAATGAAATGGTTAAAATTATAGATCAAAAAAAATATATGTATATAAGCATAAT